CCGCCGCTGCTGCCACTGCTGTTGTCACTGCTGCCGTCACCGCTACAGGATCTACAGTTGCTGTTCCCCATACTCCCGCTGGTGCTGCTCCCCCTGCTGGCACAGCTGCTGCTGCCACGGTTAGCATGGGCTGAAAAGCAGGCACACTCCTACTTACACATTGCACAAACCTGATATAGGAAAATATAAGACAGTTGAAATAAGAATATTGACATCATGACATGACCATCACAGTGTAGCTGTGTTGTTGTGATGTCATCAGGCTTTTTTCTTTTTACATCAATCTTATCAGGCTTTGTGCACTTGTGATACTTTTAAGCAAATTATTTGAAAACAATGACAGACGTTTTCATCACATATGTTGTTGATTATTATCAACACATTACAAAACAATCAGACATCATTTCACAAGTGGTTTCACAGTAACATTAATAGTGCTACAGTAATGAAAGATAGTCAAAGGATCCACTGCATTTTTTGTTTGTCTGTGATTATACTTATGTTGTAGATATGAAATGTTTATGAATGTTTTGCCTGAATTGATATGTTCTGTTTGCTGGCTGACTTGGCTTTTTGCATTTGCACCTCCCTTCCATTATTTAGTTGTGCTTGTATATGTTGAATGGTGATGTAGTTTCTCATTGAATGGTTTATAGTATTTACAGTTATAATATAAACATGTTTGCTAAACTTGTAAAAGGTTTTGTTCACTGAGTTGATAACTGTGTGTGATTTGCGTGCTGCCTTCTGATGTCTTTTCCCTAGTCCGAGGTGCCGTCATTAACAGAAGCTCAGGGAGCCCAGAGAGACGACACCCCAATGGACGTGGACCAGCCGTCTCCTTTGGACCAGGATCCTGCACCTCTTGGTATGTGTCTCCTGCTGTTTAGTGTTCTCTTGGTATGTGTCTCCTGCTGTTTAGCGCCATCTGTGTTGATTAGCTTTTTCACTAAGAGATACAATATCAACAAAAATCTTGTATATTTATACTGTTTTTAATTTTTAGATGATGAAGGAAACAGCCAGTCAGAAAGTGAAGAGAGGCTTCCTGACCTGCCTCTTCTCAGTGAGCAGCTTCTGTTGGATGAACTGTGGGACATGCTTGGAGAGTGCCTGAAGGAGCTGGAGGAGTCTCACGACCAGCATGCTGTACTGGGTGAGTTCAACTATGAAAACCAAATCTTATTCAGAATTTATATTCTGAGGTTGCAGGTGCTGTCATGGTTTTTTTTTTCTTTTTTTCAGTTCTCCAACCTGCTGTGGAGGCCTTCTTCCTCGTCCACGCCACAGAGCGAGAGAGCAAACCTCCTGTCAGGGACACGAGGGAGAGCCAACTTTCTCACATTAAAGACGAACCTCCACCACTTTCCCCAGCCCCTCTTACACCTGCCACACCTTCATCTTTGGACCCATTCTTTTCAAGAGAACCTTCCTCCATGCACATCTCTTCCAATCTTCCACCTGACACACAAAAATTCCTCAGATTTGCTGGTGAGTTCGGAGGATTTCTGTAAGATAGGTTGTTCCCCTCTGTTTTTCTGGTTTGTGGCTGACTTGTCCTTTTTTCAGAAACCCACCGCACTGTGTTGAACCAGATCCTGCGACAGTCCACCACTCACTTGGCTGATGGACCCTTTGCAGTCCTGGTTGATTACATTAGGATCCTCGACTTCGATGTTAAGAGGAAGTCAGTGAGATTTTATTAATCTGGTGATACAATACATATCACTATTTTCCTAGATCCCTGCTTTGAATTGTGTAAATGACTGTTGATTATTTACAGATACTGTACAACTATGTTTTATTTTGCCTGTTGAACCCTGGTTTGTAGTTTGCTGACACTTAAGTCTTTCTGGATTTCTGCAGATATTTCCGTCAGGAGTTAGAACGCCTCGATGAAGGCCTGAGAAAGGAGGACATGGCTGTGCACGTGCGCAGAGATCACGTGTTTGAGGACTCTTACAGGGAGCTGCATCGCAAGAGCCCAGAGGACATGAAAAACAGACTGTAAGGCCAACTTTTATTCCCCCCTTGTCTCAATATTACTTGGAAAAAAAACAACCACAAACAATCCCCCTCATACTCTGCTGCCTCTACTGCAGGTACATTGTATTTGAAGGAGAGGAGGGCCAGGATGCTGGTGGTTTGCTGAGGGAGTGGTACATGATCATCTCCCGGGAGATGTTCAACCCCATGTACGCTCTGTTCCGTACCTCACCCGGTGACCGCGTCACATACACCATCAACCCCTCATCTCACTGCAACCCCAACCACCTCAGTTACTTCAAGTTTGTGGGTCGCGTGGTGGCCAAGGCGGTTTACGACAACCGGTTATTGGAATGCTACTTCACGCGCAGCTTCTACAAACACATCCTGGGCAAAAGTGTCAGGTATTCAAGTTTCATTAAGCAACAGCTAATTATTAGGCCATGTTAGAAATAATTCCAACAATGCCATAGTCACAAATGTGTCTAAAGTGTATGTATGTATGTATGCATGTATTTCCAGGTACACAGACATGGAGAGTGAGGACTACCCCTTTTTCCAGGGTCTGGTGTACTTGTTGGAGAATGATGTGTCAACTCTGGGCTATGAGCTGACATTCAGCACTGAGGTTTGTGTTCAAATTAATCAGAATATTTTCTAACAAATATTTCCCTAATCTGCGGAAATGAGGTTCTCCTTGAATGGGTGGCATAAAAATATCAAACTGAAATGAACTTATTTTGTAAGGCTTCCACCTTTTTACTAGTGTCCATGATCTCTGTACATGTGTAGGTCCAGGAGTTTGGGGTCTGTGAAGTCCGAGACCTCAAGCCAAATGGAGCCAATATCCTGGTAACAGAGGAAAACAAGAAAGAGTACGTGCACCTGGTTTGCCAGATGAAGATGACTGGTAAGAAAGAAATCTTTTCTTGAATCTACAGCTGATGCACTATGTAAAATTTAGCAGGTGTATATTTTCTGATGCACTAGGGGGCAGCATATCTAAGCATTAGACTGATCAGTATTCAGCAGAAGCAGCTGGTGTTTTTTTTTTCTTTTTGGAATGGCTGTATGATCAAAACCAACATCCTCCAGCTGCTGCTTGTGGATCTTATTCAGTGAAGAAATCAGCTGCTTAACTGAAATAGCAGACAAATGAAATGATAGTTCACACGTCAAAAACTATCACCATTATCATCTCATTTACAAAATGACCTCTGAGTGAATACTTGATACTTGTTTTTTAGGTGCAATCCGTAAGCAGCTGGCAGCCTTCCTCGAGGGATTCTACGAGATCATCCCCAAGAGGCTGATCTCCATCTTCACTGAGCAGGAGCTGGAGCTGCTCATCTCTGGTCTGCCTACGATCGACATCGATGACCTGAAGGCCAACACGGAATATCACAAGTACCAGTCGAGCTCCATCCAGGTCTGCAACAGTTAACACAAACCACTCTAATATGGAAATGTATGCCTCTAGATCCACGTGTGCTGTGCAAAAGTTTTAGGCCAGTGTACATTCAACCAGAGCCGATGCCTGTTGAGGACATAAATACGGTGCTGACACCTGCTTGTCGTGATTACAAGCAATAAATAAATGTTAATATATAGTTATACATTCGAATATACAGTAGGGTGCAACCTACTTTACCTTCTTTTGTGAAGCGTGGATATTAAATTAGACTCATCCAGAGTTTTTGGCACCATGAAGCTGTAAAATCCATAGAGCCTACAGACGATAGCACTGAAGGCCATTATCTGAAGGTAAAATTTTTTCCTTGACGCTCTCCATTACCTGCACCGTCTTCATTCTACATACATTACTTCCATCTTCTTATGATCTATTATAGTGCTTGGCTCTCACATTACATGCTAAGCATGTCAGTAAAACTGGTGCAGCAGTGTTTTAGGGAAATGGGAGAAAAGGCCTGTAGTTACTTAGAGGATATGAGTGAATCAATTTTGAAAGCATTTGTGAATTATGACTCAGCACAGATTGAGTCCCCACTCCATAGAAGTGAGGACACACCAGTGAAGATGACTAACGTTGTTATGATTCTTCTCTTCTCACCTCCTCAGATCCAGTGGTTCTGGAGAGCTTTACGGTCCTTTGACCAAGCAGACCGGGCCAAGTTCCTACAGTTTGTCACAGGTACATCTAAAGTTCCCCTGCAGGGCTTCGCTGCCCTCGAGGGCATGAACGGCATCCAGAAGTTCCAGATTCACCGTGACGATCGTTCCACTGACCGCCTGCCATCTGCTCATACCTGGTACTGACCCAGCACTTTTCCCTAATTAAACAACAGAATCTAAATTAGTGGTGGAACAAAAACAAAACATATGTTATACATAATTGGAAACTGTAACCAATACATTCATATATATAAATATGCATAAATATACGTGTGTATGTGACTGTCTGTATCTTCGTTACTTCTTAGCTGAGAATCAAGTATATTTATTTACTTTATTTTCCTTCTCTCTCCCCCAGCTTTAACCAGCTGGACCTTCCAGCCTACGAGAGCTACGAGAAGCTGAGACATATGCTGCTGTTGGCCATCCAGGAATGCTCGGAGGGATTCGGACTAGCTTAAACTATGAGACTCCTAACACAGTCAGACATGCGTACAGGCGGTCGTCTTAGGTTTGCCGAGTCCTGACACAGTTGACACTGATAACACTCAACACAATTATCCTAGTCACCTACTGGACTGACCGGTCCAATGGTCTGGACTTACTGGTTTCTTTTCCATGTAAAACAGAAACAACCGGCGAGTGAACACAGACTGATTGACATAGCTTACAACATGGAGAGCCTCACGGTGACACCACTGTGTGTGTGTGTTTGTGTGTGCGCGTGTGTGTCTCCCTTTCCAATTTAATGACAAATGCAAGAGTGGAATTCAGAGGATAAACCATGGACTAATATAAAAGACGTTTCCTTCATTTAGTTTGATTTCTCTGTACAAAAGGTTTGGGAGTTTAATATGTTTAATCTTTTTTTTTTTTTTTTGTTCTCTGGTTGTGTAAAAAGAAAAAAAGAGGATGTTGTTTGAACAGGATGGTTATAAAACCTTTGGGGACAAAAAATGTTGCTGTTTCCTTGTTGCTAAATTGTGACCTCACAAGCCTTGAGGACGGGGAACATTTTTATGCGGGGTGTGTGGACAACAAGAGAAGTTTTGGAGATAACTCACAAAAAATGCACTTTTCAAACGTTTTGTGGCATTTTTAAGGAAGGATGGTACAAATAATGAAGAGGAAGAAGCCTGAAGGTGATAAAAGACATTAACCATAAAGTCTAGAGTATTTTTGGCTATTAAAACGCTGACCCAGCCTTGAGCCTTTGAATCGGAGTGAAATAACTACATGAATAAATGCATAAAATTGCGTCCATTGTCTCTTTTTACTCTGTTTTGACATCACGTGATGTGAGCTCCTGTATTGACCTTATTTACTATGGTGACCATGTGTCCTGACACAGGTTATGTTTATTGTGAACTTGTAAAAGCTTTTAGATGAAACCAAAAATGACAAATCTAACCGTAACACAGTAAGTGATGAACCGTTTGAGCACTGTTTGATGAACTTCACCCTGTGTTAATGTCTGGTCTGCTGCAGGTGTGAGTCAAACCCAGGACGACTGCTTTACTTATTGGATGTCAGACGTTTGTGACCTGGTGTTGACCCTTAATAAGACACACCACTTTCAAAGCTTTTGCTTCAAAACTTCACAGAAAAGTTTTTTTTCAATATTCCCCCTGGATCCCTAAAGGCTCTGTGCCCCCCTACTTTATAAACCACTACATTGACTCATAAATTAAAAAAAGGAATTTCCATGCAACACATTTGAGGACTTTTAGAATTCTCCATTTTATGTGAAATAAGATTTTGCAGTCATTTTAAGAGGAGTAATCAAACATTTTTTAGATGTATCAGGTATATACAAAATGTACTCCATTGATGTGAGTCACTACAAGCAGTTTTTCATCCAAGATGAGGAATATTTACACAGATTTACACGATTTAATGAAAAGTGGGCGAGTTAATATATGTCCTGCTCCAGGAGGAGAAAACCTGTGTCACGATGCAGAGTCATTGATGATGAGTACAGTAATTGTAGCAGTCTGTTCCATACATCTGATTAGAGCATCGTCAGCAGTCGACTGGTCAACAAGTGTTCTATTGGCCCACCACCAAGGGTGTGTTCAACATTGCGTCCCTTCGATTGATTAGGTCTGAAACCTCAGACTCAATCAATCAGACCTTTAACTTTTTTTTTTGTTAATTTTCGGTTTACTCTCACACATGAATGTGTATTAATGTTCATACCACCAGTACGACGGACCAGATTGTGTGCAGTGTGAACCTCCACCCTGGCACATCTGTCGTCCACACCTGTTCTGTCTTTTCACTCCTCCTCTGTGGACCTGCTCTCCACATGAGCTTCTGCCCTTGTTCCACACCAGTGCTCGCTACAGCAACAGAAATCACAACCCCACCCATGCTGCATCTCCGACTCTCCCCCCACCTCTCACCCACGACCCCCATTGAAAAACCTTCGCACCAGTTGCAGGGCAGAGAGCGTCCACGTCTGATTTAATGTGTACCCTGCCATGATAAATGAAACCAGGGGGATTTTAGACCTCACACCGAGCTCTGAGAGCAGAGAACACAGTCGGCGACTGTAGGTGAACCCTACATACAATGTTACCTTTAAAATACTACACAGACACCATTTTAAAACCAAGCCGGGGTTTTCATATCCTGTAAACATCCATTATTTTAGATAAGCTTTGATTTAAACATTAAAATTTAAATCTTTCAGGGAAATTCCTGGAGGTCCTGGAATTTAATGACACTTTTACACAGTGGTCGATGAACCTTTTTATGTCAGGTGGAATTTGTGTGGTTGAATATCTGTCAGGGAGAAACACATGGTGTGTAAGTTCTCATACAGAAAATACAAGTAATTTTATCCTGGTCCGAACCATATGAACAAGTCACAACTCACTTTGACTTGGTCAGAAGTCAGGGGTTAACTGAACAGTGCAGTGGAAGACTATTGGTTAATGTAATCTAATGACTTGCTGGAAAAAGCAAAACTGTAGATTATGCTGATGCTCCAGGTTAATCAACCTGATGCTGATGCTCCAGTTTTCTATGCAGACTCTAAATCTCTGTTTAGTTGAGCTGCTGTGGGACAAATTAGATTGATCAGTCCAAAATGTCCATCCCCAGAATCATCATTTCCATTAAAGAATTTAAGAAACCTAGGAATGCAATTCCTGGCACATACTTTAAAACAGCTTTCTGCTTTACCCCACTGTTGTTAAAGCCAGTGACGGGTACTTTAAAGAAAAACTAAACCATGTAAAAGTAATATTTGTTCTGATAAGTCACTCCTTCTATGTGTGTTGATGTTTGATCATACTCTCAGATATTGCAGCCTCTAGAGTGGGCTGTGTGTAGTACAGAGACCGTATACAGTATGTGAGTACTTAAAGGCTCCGTGATGAATACTGTAGTATTTCTCCCCTGGTTTAGACCAACACACAGGCGTAGAGTAGCGGTTATATTTAAACCTTAGGATAAAATAATAAAAAAAGTTTGTCGTAAACAAAGTCGTCCGTCCTGGTCTGTAGCTGAGGAGGAAATGAAGGCTGGTGCTGTTCATTAATAATGACTGTGTTGTGTATGAGCCAGAAGCTCTCAGAGTAATTTGTTGGACGGTCTTCAGTGCCTCTGGAATAAATCACTATACTGCAGAGTTCACAAAGCAAAAACATCAGGTGCAAAGAAACAAAATGAGTTCATTAGAGTAATTGGTTTAATATTTCTAATAAGCTGGACAGACGTTTACACTGGTGGGAATTAATGACTGTTCACTAATATATTTTCATTCAAAGCCAGTGAACACAACACTGGGTTCATCTGCAGCAGTTTTGTTTTTTTATAGGGTGTGAACTCACAGTCTGTCACTGTTTCTCTGCATAAATTCACTGTGGTTTAGTCAAGATCCATGTTCCAAATATAAAACATCCCCCTGGAAATGTGTGTGTTGTTGAAGGAGTTTTAAAAAAAAAAAGTTAGTTTCAGCCAAAGCTGTTTTTCATAAGAATGACGAGACAGATCAATGTGTTCAGCTTTAGTTTAGTCTATTTAACCAGGTCACCAGTAGCCGACTGGACTCGACTGGTTTCCTGAAGATGTTTCACTCTAACCCTAAATTTCAGCACCTCAGGTGATGTGTGTTTGTGTAACGAGGGAGGGTGTGGCCTCAGGACACCGACACTCAGTATCAAGGTGTGCTGTATTATGAGGAAACTTCTTTTCTTCAGACAAAAGCTACCAAAAAAGACTATCTAGAAACTGCACTGATTCATTTACAGTTTTCAGGAGCTGAAAGAATGTGTTTTCAAACTCAGGACTCACTCCATGTCAAGTAAGATTCCAACCGCTGCACCACTGTTACACCAGTCAATCAGACTGGAAGCACTGATGAATTTCCAGTTTAATAGTTTGTTTGTATGTAGTTGGAAAATGCACCACTTTTTTTTTTTGAACTGTATATGCATACGTCTTTCCTCTAAACCAAATATTCAGTGAGACTTGATTAATTCAGAGCGCCACTGTGTGGATAAAAGGGAACGTTGACGTACCCAGTGGACAGGAGCAGCCCTGAGCTGTGACAGGAGTGTGACGGGTGAGGCAGGGTGAGGCAGGGCGAGGGAGGGCGTGGTGAGCCTCGTGAATCTGTCATGTTTGTCATCACCTTGATTAGGCTGAGTTCCCTGCTCTGTCTGTGAGCAGCAGCAGCAGCAGCAGGGGTAACAGTCTTCACTCTGCACAGATCCACACACGCTGACGCAGCTGTGGTGTGGAGCTGGTAAACAAAGCAGTGTGTGATCGGAGTTTTCTGGACTCGTGTGGAGTCCAGACCCTGACCAGAGATGACGCTCAGTCTCCTGTAAAGGTCACAGTCCGTGGTCACCGTCTCCTCCACAGCCCCCTCTCCTCCTCCTCCTCCTCCTCCTCCTGCGCTCAGTGCAGCAGCAGTGTGCACCTTGTGGCATTTTCAGACCAGAGAAGCCGACGCATGCAATTCAAGTCGGTTATATTACAGATCAGGTATCGTGCTGCTACTGAAGGTTATCAGACTGAGGAGTGTAATACAGTCGGAGGGATTTGATGAAACAGCCAGAAATAAAACGGCTCCTTTTCAAATCAGAAACGTGCTTCTGCTAATCTCAGTTAGTATATCTATATTTAGTATTATATTGTATTATATAGTGCAATATATTTTCTTCTATGTATAGAAATAGAACTACATGAATGACATTGTTTGAAGTCCAGTTATTATAGTCTTAATACTATATAAAGAAAAAATACAACAATATACTAATACAATATATAATACTATTATTAGAGATATATTATATAAGTGATCAGTATAATGATACAAACCATAGTGTAGATATACACAGTTACTACGTGAGCATTGTACTGCAAGATGTAATATGTTATAAAATCTAAAGCATAAAGAGTACCGTATTTTCCGCACTATAAGGCGCACCTAAAATCTGAAAATTTTTTCAAAAGCTGACTATGCGCCTTATAATCCGGTACGCCTTATATATGGATCAATATTGAGCCGCGACAGGTCTCGCAACTTACGGTAAGCAGCCACCGACTCCATTTTTCCCCGTAGAAGAAGAAGTGCGCGGTGCATGCTGGGATATATTAAACAGCGATTCATTTTCATTTGTGTGTTTGTGTAAAGACCCTGAAATGGCTCCTATTAAGAGACACGCTTACAACGCAGAGTTTAAACTCAAGGCGATCAGTCACGCAGTAGAACACGGAAATAGAGCAGCAGCAAGAGAGTTTAACGTTAATGAATCGATGGTGCGGAAGTGGAGGAAGCATGAGGATGAGCTGCGCCAGGTAAAGAAGACTAAACAAAGTTTCCGTGGCAATAAAGCGAGATGGTTACAGTTAGAGGACACACTTGAACAGTGGGTTGTTGAACAAAGAGCAGCAAGTAGAAGTGTCAGTACAATCACTATTCGAATGAAGGCAACAGCGCTGGCACGCGAACTTAACATTAAAGAATTTAGAGGCGGTCCTTCTTGGTGCTTTCGGTTTATGAAAAGATGTAATCTCTCCATCCGTACACATCCGGACATTCCCTTTAGCGCGGCACCATCTAATGGTTGCATAACGTAACTACAGCCTCTACTGTAGCGCCTTATAATGCGGTGCGCCTTATATATGGAAAAAGTTTTAAAATATGTCATTCATTGAAGGTGCGCCTTATAGTGCGGAAAATACGGTATTTAAATAGTACACACTAGAGTCACTCTGTACTGCACACATGTATGTGTAGTGT